AAATGTTATCAGGTAAGAAATAAATCACGTGTGCTTGTTTTATTTCAAAATCGCAATATTTAAAATCTTTTAAACAATATAAATAACAAATATATCAATAATCAATATAAATAAGAAAAATATATCTATTTCCTATTTAAATTAATTTTATATATTAATTTAAATAAAATATTTTAATTAAACAATATAACAGCATAAAATTATTTAACAAATATAGTTCACGAATTTATTTAAAATACTTTATTAAGAATAAGAAATTTTTTGTAAATCTATTATTTTTTTTAATATTAATTAATAATAATCACAAATAAGAAACACGATCGAATCAAATGTAATTTTTGGTTAAAGCTGGCAATAATGTCCCACATCTTTCGATCACTCGTTACGATGTACTACTTGATAATTGATCATTGATTTATCGTCAATTGGAAAAAGAAAATACTAAGAAGCTAATTTCTTTTCCAATTAAAGACAGCCTCAAGGAAATCACAACAACACCGCATTGGATATGGTGTACTTACTTGGATCAAACGTATGGATAGTATCGATTCAAGGATCGACTTAAAAGAGAGAGCCTCTAGTGCTGAACGCGTAATTGAATAAATATACGAAACGCTATGTCGATCAAATTCTTTTTTTTTTTTTTTTTTTGCAATTATCGGTTGCAATCGAACACATCAATGGAAGTCACACGTGTACGCCTAGAGCAATTGGAAATTAAATGCTTTAAATCTATAAAATGTGAGAAAGAATTAAAACAAAAAAACATTTGTCCAATTTTGATAATAACATGATAGCATTATTATTAAAAAATGTATATATAATTATATTATAATATTATATTTTAAAAAATATTATTATTAAAAAAATATATATCATAAATTCTCGATGCAAAATATTATTTAGTGATAAATATTAAATTCTTGACAATATATTTGTAAAATTTCTTAACATACGCTTAACGTATATAAATTACACGATGAAATAAATTATATTAAATTTATTTGAACAACAATTAGAATTTCTTGTTTTTTTTAATATTTGTAATATTTTATTGCATACTGTATATGTATATGTATATTTGGTTAAACGTTCTACTTTTCTACGAATCTCTTATACGTTCATGATAAATTTACCGTAGAAGCAAATCTTTTATCATTTATAATTGGCAGGTTTTACAATTTGTAATTGACAGTGGTCTGAAATACCGAATCGCGATTGTGCTTCGTCGATGCATCATTAATGACGCGGGAATAGTAACGTGAAACTGTTATATCGTAACTTAATCAAAATGGGCAATTGATACTTTTTAATCAACTAGTATCACCTTTTACGAATTGATATCATTGATCATAGAAACATTGTTTCGTTGAAATTGATCCTTGGCTTTCGAAAGGATTGTTCTAGTTATTGTTAGAAAGGTTGTTCGAGATACGAGACAGATGTTGTGCAAAAGTAATCGATTCTTGAAGAAAAAATAATTCTATATTGTAATGTGTCATTGATAATTTATGAGAATATATATGTATATGTTCCTATTATTTTTATTCTTATAAATATAATTTCATAAATGTAACTAAAATATATTTATTTAACAATGAAAAACTTATGAATCTCAAAAATTTGTGATTTAATCAAAATTTATATGATTCTAGATTTTTCTAATACTCAAATTTAAATTTTACATTATTCATTTTAATTATATCAATAAGTTTTGCATACTATTATCTAAATAAAACATAACCTGCAAATGAAAAATAAAGAAAGTCATATCATTTTTTCTTAACCTATTCTTATAGATTTTATACGAATAATATTATATGTTATGTTTTATTTTATCTTTAACTATAACTATAAATATATTAGTATGTATAATTGTTGTTAATATTCTAAAATATATGCTCAATTATTGTCTGCTTTATTTTATAGTTTGTTTTATTCAACTATAATTTTTCTCATTATTATTTTCTTTATTATTATTTACATGTAGATGGTGCAATGTTTATAAATGATATTTAGTCAATAATGATATTTAATCATATAAATCGATACGAGAAATTAATAAAACGAAAAATTTGTGTAATGTTATTAAGAATTTCTTGTATATTATTACATCATAAGTAATATATGCACATATATCTGTATTTATTCGATCAAATTAATTTATTTGATAAAATATTATAACACAACGATTTACATTTAAAAATATTTTGATTTATTTGCATAATACATACCATATCTCGATATTCTATTATTTAATTTATCATTAATGTTTTTGTTGAAACTAAATTTTCGAAAATGAAAACTAGGTTAGGTTATACAATTTAATTAAAATATCGCTTAAAGTTGAATTCTAATTTAATAAACAATTTTTCAAAATATCAGTTTGTAATAAATAAGAAATCGATCGAGAATAATTACAAAAGAATGACTATAATTTTTAGTGCATAGTACATAAAAAATGCCTGTCGCGTCGATAAGGAATTCTTTCGTAGCATGAAAATTTATGCGGTATTTCCCTAAAGCACATGATCGAAATAATTCAAGATATTACAAATTATTACTTATATGAATTATAATTCAAATATAAAAATTCAGAATGATTAACGATATTTTTTTTCATCTTTAAATAAATACGACACCAAGAAATCTCAATTCTTTTTCACAAAAAAACTAATGCAAATATTTTTAATATATTATTCTTAATTAAAGTTAAATTTTTTTTATAACCTGTATAGAAACTTGGCTATCATTAAGAAAAAATCACTTCAAAAAAGAAAATTTAATCTTCTTAAAGAATTTTTGGGAAAAGAATTTTTTAAATCTGTTAGTAGAAATCAGGATTGCATATATATTGAAAGATTACGAATATAGATCAATAAAATTTCATTCATCGATCGATCAAATTTTATTAGAGAATACGTTAATGAAAGTTACATACATACATATACGCATGCGCATACGTAGCATGAACATACGAAATTTCACTCGTTACGTGATCGATAATTCACGCGTCCGCGAAATTTTTCAAATGGTTTTTACTATATACATATATAAATAATATTCCATTCGAATTGTTGTTTCGATCCTTAATTAATCGTTTACTTTTCAACGATTTTTAAATTAAATTAATTATTATTGAAATATTTATATATAATAAAATTTATTATATAATAATATTGCTTTTATATATGTAAAGAAAAATATAACCATTTCAAAAATTTCGCATCAATAACAATAAGTCAATTAAGATTGACTTAAAATAAAAAATTGTATAAAATTATTGTTTTTTTTTGTGGGCATCATTAATAAAACAAGTTAAACAAATATCATAAACTTTCACTCGCGTGAAAATTTTCTTGACAGAACAATTTTGTTAATCGAAAACTTGCAGGGAGGAAAAAATTGTGCTCTTTACCGCGGGAAGCGGTATCTCATCGCTTTCTCGTATAATGTTGCATAGAATTGCGAATTGCTGATGCGAGAAAGTATTCGCATAACTAATACACCTTATTTTGTTACATAATCACGCGTTAGACAGCAACATAAAATACAAAATACCTGTGAACTCTGCGTATTGAACATAGTTCAAGTTTCATTACTTCATCGAAATTAAATACCATTGCGTCATGCTATGATTTAATACTATTTCAAATAAAAGATAAAAACTCTTACATATTATTAAAAAATTAAGCATTTATTCTTTTCATTATTCTGTTTCATTTAATTAAATTCGTTCATACATTAAACTTATTAAGTTAGATATTCGTATATTAATTAATCGAAATTCAATATAGAAAACTAAGTTTTATGATTGGCATTCTTGACTAATAGAATAATAGAATTAATAAATTTTCAAAAGTATTAATATATCAATTTTTTTTTTCTTCAATCGTGTAATCAAACATATACATTTTCTCGTTGTTTTTTTTAAATATGAATGCATTTATACTTATGTTATATGTCTTCTGAATATCATTGAAAAAAGATAGTATTATAATAATATTCAAATGTTTATGAATTTTTATTTATAATGCATAATTCTGCTGAATTATTATTTATATTGAAATTACGAATTAAAAAAATAAATATTACGAAATAAAAATTCATGAAATACATTTATGAAATGAATTTAATTGAAAACTTATCATAATTCCATTGATAATAATCATGGAACATTATATTAGATTAGAAATGTAATATAAGATTGTATAACTATATACATTACCGCTATTTAGCCAATTAATTGCAGATTATAGTTGATATAGAAAATATCTAACCGCGAATATTTATCTATAAATAAGTATTTCATGATTTTATTATGTATTGATATCTTGATATAAATTGCGTAGAAAAATTTTATGTGAGAATTAATGAGTAATCAATTAATGAGTAATCAAAATAGAGTAATATTCGTATATTATTTTTACACTACTTATCGAAATAATATAAAATCATACATTTTTATGTGTGCATATGTATATATATTTATTGAAATTTTTATTTATAGAAAAAACATACTGTTTATATGAAATATCTTTTACATGAAATAAATTAAAAATTTTTAAGATAACTTTCACTTTTTTTTTTTCTTAAGTTTCTGATCATATATGTATATAAATCATGCAAAGATATAATATAATAACGACATCTTACTACTCAAACTTTAAATTAGATCAAAGAAAAGGATTTCTATGTAAAAAATATATACAATCAGAAATATAAAAATATTTGAATATTTTGACAATATTTATCATGGCAATAACATCGATAATATTTACTTATATTAATTATCATATTATTATTTATTATTTTTTATATTATTTTATAATAATTCTATTAATAATGAAATAAATTTTGCCAGTCAAGGTCAAATTGAAAAATTTTGTAAATATTTTGAACGATTTCCTTTTTGTTATTTATTTTAAAGTTATTCGAGATGTATTTTTAATTCGAAATTAATAATCATGATAAATTTAAAAAAAAAAGTAAAGACTTACCGGAAGGTGTCCAACAATCAGTACAATCCTGACATAATGTCAACCAATCATCCTTTAAATCTTTAAAACTCGCCATAATGATCGACAGGACTTATTCCTTCGCTGGCGGTTATTTTGATAGATCCACAACAGGAATATAGATTCACCTTGTCACAACAATATTTTTTTATATTTTCCTTATCACAATAAAAACACAATCACATTTCCCGCGTAACGTTGGGTGGAACACATGATCAACGTAGAACTTCGCATAATATATACATTCTTGAGAGAAGATGAGAACCGAAGTCAGAACACACACGAATACTCAAAGCATTCAACGATTACCTTACGACACCCAGTTCTGGTTTGCCGTTCGTTCCACCCGGTGCTCTCTCTATCCTTGTCTTATCTTTTGCTACCACGATCATATCTCTCGCTCTCCCATGCGTCTCACATGTGTATAGCTATCTTTCTTTGTCTAAGTTTCTTACACGACAACGTCCCTTTTCACTTCAGTTACCACGTCTTTCGCACTGTTTATTTTTACGATCAGTTCACTACCAGGTCGTCTGTCATCTATCATATTTGTAACTTATCTGCATATATAGACGTAAACTTACGATGACATACTTGTTTTCGGTTACATTCTTATTAAGCAACATATTTTTACTATATATTTTTATTATAAATATCCATTCAATTCTTGATTAACGGATATTATTGCAATATTGTCAATATCAACTATTTCTTTTTTGATGATTAATAATTTTTACAAAAGATTGAAAGAAATTATAATAAATGTATTAATTACGCTTTAAAAAAGTTATCCACATAATAATATAAAGTTTTTCTAATCACATTATACTTGGATAAATATAATCAGTTTTTATTTTTAATATTAAAAACAGAGAAATATAAAAATATATATATATATATATATATATTTTATAGTTTTTTAAAATATTTTTTGATACATTAAGAAAATTAATTTGTAGTAAAGTTAATATTAATGCATATTATAATAATTATTATTTCATTATTATTTCAATGATATAAGAATACATTAATATATATAAATAAAACGTGTATAACTTTTATAAAAGCAGATATATATATATATATGTATAGTTAAAATTTACTTAATTAATGATATATTATACTTTACATTATGTACAATTTTATCATGTCTTTTTCACTTTTAAAAATCCAGCTGTATTTGAAAAATATTTAGCATTAGCTTCATTTACTTTCTTTTCTGCTGCTTGTGGATTTACAATTTCTAAGCCCTATAAGATAAGAAAAGAAAAAATAAGAATATAAATATGTATTTCGTTTAATGTCAAAAACTATTAATTGCGGAAATTTATTATATTATTATTAATTTTTGTTACCTGTAATGGAGTAAATGCAACACTTGATGCTGTACCGGAAACTTGTTTCTTAACCGTTGTACTACCACCCCATTGTTGCTGTTTTTGTAAATTTTTTTGAAGTGTTTTTGATATTCGTACTTTTGTTTTTTCATCAATTTGCGGTAATCGGATACGACCCGTTCCTGCTTTGCCAATTGTTCCTCGTGAATAACCAAGATCTTCTTGATAGGCATCATTTTCAATCTATAAAACCAATAGAATCTCGATAAATATTATATATATAAACATAAAATGCGATTGACAAAAAAATTAAAATGCTTACATCGGCAAAATTCATTCTATTTGCATGTTTCCTGAATTCAGTAATAGCATAACGTTCTTTCATTTTTCTTACACGTTTACCACCACGTTTCTTACGTCCTGGATCAATAGGTTTTGGTAAAGGTTTCACAAATTTTACAGGAGGTGGTTCTTGAAGCTTATCAAGTTTTTTCTCAATCTCTTCGCGGAACATTTGACCGATATGGCCGTCTGTACTTTCATGACACGCATCAACTCGAGCAGCTAACATACTTTTCGCTGCTACAAGTCTTGCTGCCTTTCTTCGTAAATCCTAAAAAAATAAATAATAAATAACAATAAAAAATATTTGAAAAACGTTTAATAAACGTTTATTATTATCTTTAATATCAACTTACTGGGGGTGTTTCTTGTACGATATCAGAATAATATATAAATCCAGTATGAGGAAGAGTCGCTACTTGAGAAAATCCAGATAATGTGGTTTTTTGAGATCCCAAAACTAGAACATTGCAAGCTGGCATTTTTGAAAGTTTTGTTAATCCTCCTGCAACACCTAGAATAAAAGATAATATATTAATACAAGTTTAATGAAATTTTTCACTACTAAAAAAAATATATTTATTCAATAATATAATACCCATAATTTTTGCTGCTGTAGATGCACCCACTATTATTGAAAGATTTGGTGCAATAAATGCCATTCTACTTTCAACATATTCAAATATTTTTAATTTGCAATTATTCAATTCTACTGCCATATCACAAGCCTCACAAATAGCCTCCTTTTCTTCTTCTGTTAATAATTGTCTAAAGTAAAATAATTTTGTAATTTAAAACATTGGAAATTTTTATTCAATTACTTATATTTTTAAATTTATCATACTCCTATCATATAAATCTTACCCCTGTGTTGTTGAAGCAGTAACTGAAACAACCATAATTGTTGCTTGAGTAAGAAATTGTTGTAATGTTTCATTGTTCTTTGCTCTATCTAAATCATTTCCTAGTTCTCTAACTGTCATTACATATTCCAATGGACCAACAACTAAAGATTCCAATTCTGGAAATCTTTTAGAATACTTATCTCTTGTAAATCGATGTATAGTAGCTAAAAAATATAAATTATATATGTATTATATTATATTAAATAATCATTAAAAAATTGCTTTTATTATACCTATTTCATCGTCAATATCTACAGCCATATTATTAGCTTCAACAATAAGTTGATATTCTGGATCGGATTCAACAGGTCCAATGATATCTGCTGATTTTCTAGGAATTTTGCTGTATTTTTCTATTTGAGACATTACTTTTTGTAATTGAATGGAATCACGAAGTTTTGCCAATTCTCTTACAGATGCTACTTTTATTTCTGCAATTGAATTAAAAAATAATAAAATAATGTTTAATATTTAACTATTTTTATTAATTAACTATATTATTATATTATTATAAAAAATAATAAATAACTGTATTATTGTAAAATATATAAATTATTGAAAAAGGTTAACCTTCTTCGATAGTTTTAGAAACAGAAGTCGGAATAAAATCCGGTTCTGGTTCTTCTGCAATACGATCACTATCATTTTCTTCAAGATCTGCTAATAATTCATCTGCTAATGACATATTTGTTCAACAATATGTTTAAATAAACATTTATTTAAAGTTTAAAATAAGTATATATCTTTTGTATATTCTGTTTAATAACTTTGATTATTTACTATTACGCCATCTGCATATGACAACAGTTTGAATATATTTGCAAAATATACACACATATATATATATATATATATATATATTTGATGTGTTTTCAATCTATAGACAAGGAGTTTTGACTGAATCTTGTACAGTGTCTCCCATATATTGTAAAGTCGAAAATGTAATACTTATATTTTTTAAAGATTAAAATAATCTTAAAAGAAGAATAAAAATATATTTAATTAGAATTTCGTATTTCATCTGTCATGTGAGCAATTATAAAAATGAGAGAAGAATAGAAATAGGATAAAAATTATTAGTCATTTTAGAAATGTCATCAAAGAAATTTTAAAATTGTTCAAGAAATGAAGCTGATCTAGTATTTTTATTTTGTCTATTCTTTTTCCAGAATAGAGATAAAAATATTGCAAATGAAACATATAAAGAAAAGATAAAAATAGTAAGAAAATAGAATAAGAATTGATCATTAATGCCATCTTTCGAGAAATCTTTCGTACCAAAGATCTTTTAAAAGGCAATAAAGTAAGAATTCAAGATCAATGTCATCTCTTGAATGTTTTGGAAAATATCTTTGTTGGAAAAATTAATTCTTATTTTATTTCTATTTTTATTCTTTATTATTTTAAATTTTTTTTGTGTTTCATTTACAGTATTTTGAAGATGGCGCTAATTTTAATATTTTTATTTTATCTTTATCTTCCTCCATTTGTTTTTCTTATCTATATTTATTCTACAAAATTTATTTTCTTAAAAAACGAATTTTAATATCTAATTAACAATCGAAAGTTGATAAAAAAATAAAAATAATAAATGCTTGCAATTTTCATATGGTTTTAATATTAAAATGATTTTAATCATAATTTTTAATTCATTAATAATTCATTTATATATGAATTTATTATTTTTAGTGGTTAAAAGATCTATGAATATAATTTAAAATATATAATATATATAAACATTTATATATATATATATATATATATATATATATATTTAAAATCTGTTGACTTTATTAATTTTGTGATTTTAAATTAAATATAATTTTTATATTTATGCACTAAATCGTAAAAGGCATAGCAAATACTCTGATTTTTTGCACGATCGGTATTTCAGAACATAGAACACAAAATCTCGTTAAATATTAAATCTATTCTATACCTCATCTATGCTCAAACATAAATTGCTGGGATTGGTTAATAGTTTATATCGATATTTATCGTATTCATCAATCTACCACTTTATTATCATTTCCTACATTATTGAAAAACCGGCTTACAGTACTTGAAGATAAAATTTAGTAATACAAGGTAAAAAGATTTGTAAGCTGACGATATTAAGGATAAATGAACAAATGAGTACTTTCTTGCCCATCACATAACCAAAACTGTGTAATCCTTGACGCACGATGTTGAAGAGGAATCGTCATCGTAGTGCATTACAGTATCGACAAGAATAAAGAAAAAAAAGAAAGCCTTCCGACGAATGACAGCGCGCAAAACCGATCACGCGGTCGAACCGGGAGGTGTGCTTTCGGTCGGTGTCAGAAACCGTGTGTGTACCGTATATGTGTATGTGTAAGGCAGTATCTCTCTCTCACAACAAATATGTCGTGGTGGGGAGTACATTTTCCCGTTCGCTGTTTCGCATATTTCTTCCCCCGCATTATTATTATGTAGTTTGGCATAGGTGAACCCTTGCACATTTGTCTTGATATTAAAGAATACAAGTGTGTGTATGTAGTGATATAATTATTAATAAAAAAGAAAGTTTACATGAAAGGTGACAAGGGTCGCCTCGTAGTCAAGAATAAAGCGCGATGAGAATGATACGCCAGTTAGCTCTTTTACTCGGTAATTAGAACGATTATTTAATCATGTTCAATCCGCAAGGAACCAGAGACGATCGTAGGCAGCCAACGGCGTGAGTCTCGCGATTAACGGTAGGTGTGGAATATCGTGGAGTTGAACAACGAGGTGTATTGACGTTGATTTGGTGGTTGCGTTCCCCGGCTACGCCTAGGTGAAAAATGCGGTTCTGAATCGCGACGTGCGCCGATCCCGTGCAATTACGAACAGGTTGTTCACGGGTGGCTCGTTTAATACGCGCATTACGTTACAATACTTCTTCCTGAATACAGACTCGTGTACGGGTCTGCGTCTTGCGTGTGTATGTGTGGTGTTTGGACAATCAAGGATATATTCCTTCGGAAGGACAGCCTGACACGGAAGAAACGCCGGAAGGAAGGAAGAGGAGGGTAGCAGGGTAGCAAGATGGCGGGATCCTTAACGTGGTCGTGTACTTGTTGCCTACGGTTCAAGTTCAGCCCCGAGGAGATTGAGCAGCGTTACAAAAGTCAAGAAATCGATCGAATGCTAGAGAAGGATCGTCAAACTTTTCGACGACAAGTTAAGCTGCTGCTCCTCGGGGCAGGCGAGAGCGGAAAATCAACATTCCTCAAACAGATGCGAATTATTCACGGAATTAAATTCGAGGTAAGACATTCTTCATTTCGATGCAAGACAATTTCGTTTCCAGTTTCATTTTTTCCTAAAATGTCAGACTGTATATTTTCATTCGTTTAACCTTTTTACATTGGATTATATATAATTTATTTATAAAAAAAACAAATTTTCTAAGCTTCTTTCAATGTTATTATAATTATTTAAATATCTATAATTATAAAATGTTATTTGTTAAAATATGTTAGATATAGAATATGAGAAATTAAATTTAAAATAAAAATAAATATCGTTTATATTTTTCTTTAAAATCTAATTATTGAATTAAAGATTTAGTTGCTTTGTGTTCATGTTTTTATTAATAAAGACATCTAATAAATTTGTATTCCTGTTTATTTATTTATATTATTCGATAATTATAAATTTATTTACAAATATTATTAAAATTTAATTAATTAAATTTTTTTAAATAATCATGAAAATAATTTGAAAGAAATATTTATTAAGTATAGATTATTAAGTTTCATATCATTTTTATTTTATTATTTATAACAATTGTAATTATTGAATCTAATTATAGTGAAAATGTGAAAATCTAATTATAATGAAATGAAAATAATTATTTATAAAATATATAATAGTTATATATATATATATATATATATATATATATAAAATATATATAGTTATTTATAAAATATAAAAAATAGATTTGAAAATATAATCTTTTTTTAGATTATTTTTCATGCTTTTGAATAAATAATAAATACAAACAAAAAATTTATTTAAATTTAACATTTATTATAATCATTTGTTTCAGCCTGAATTAATTAAGGAATATCAACATGTAATTTATCAAAATATAATTAAAGGAATGAAAGTATTAGTAGATGCTCGTGATAAATTGAATATTCCTTGGGAAAATGCTAAAAATTATGATATTGGTTATCAATTATTGAAATTTGAAAATACTATGGTATTGGATGCTAGATTATTTCTCCATTATGTACCAGCTTTACAAAGTTTGTGGAAAGATGCATCAATCAAGAAAGCTTTTGATAGGAGAAGAGAATTTCAATTAGTAAGATATTTTTTTTTTTATAATTAATAAATATGTTTTTATGTTATGATAATAGTTATTTTAATATTTATTGTGATACATAATAATAAAATATATAAATTTAAATTCATTAAATGAAAAATGATGAAAATATAAAAAAATTTGCTTTTATATTTTATTATATTATTTATTATTATAAAGAGAATCTTTTTTTTTTACAGAGTGATTCAGTTCAATATTTCTTGGATAATCTTGACAGAATTGCAAGAGTGGTAATGTTATTTAATCTTATTATTTAACTTTTTTTTAAATTTATTAAATTATTATTATATAAATGTTTATTTATTATAAATATTGGTAATTTTTTGTAGGATTATGTACCTACCCATCAAGATATTTTACATTGTAGAAAAGCTACTAAAGGAATTTCAGAATTTGTCATACAAATTAATAATATTCCATTTCTGTTTGTTGATGTTGGAGGACAACGATCTCAAAGACAGAAGTGGTATCAATGTTTTGATTGTGTTACTTCTATACTTTTCCTTGTTTCATCATCTGAATTTGATCAAGTGTTATTAGAAGATAGGTATGTTTAATTAAAATATATCATTTATTAGAGATTGAGAATAATAAGAAAATCAAATCATTATATAATATATATTTATCAATGTTATAGAAGAACTAATCGACTGGAAGAATCAAGAAATATATTTGATACAATAGTAAACAATATGATATTTTGTGGAGTATCTATCATTTTATTTTTAAATAAAACTGATTTGTTAGACAAAAAAGTAAGATCACCTGATACAAATGTTCGTTGGTACTTTCCACAATTCACAGGAGATTCACATTCCATGAAGGATGTGCAGAATTTTATACTTGAAATGTTTATATCAGTTAAAAGGGATCCAAGAAAACCACTTTTTCACCACTTTACCACTGCTGTGGATACAGAAAACATAAAAGTTGTATTTAATGCTGTTAAAGACACAATTTTACATAGAAATTTGGAATCATTAATGCTCCAATAATGATAAATGTATATAAAAAAAGTGAAATGACTTTTGATTCAAAGATATACATTCAACATTTAGTGTTTGATACATAGTGAAGTGAAATTGTAATCAAAGAAGTATTAAAACGTCGATTACGAAAGAATATTCTGGTAAGACAATATATACTATATATATATATTGTATTAATGTAAATCTTATAGTTATCTCCGTTTATAACGGCAAATTAAACAGTTTCGTATAATTTCGTAATAGTTTTATACAACAGGAAAAGTAAAAACTGCCTAATGAAAACATGTATCGAAAATTTTTTAATGTTCTATACATTATATATATATATACATATACATATAAATATTGATAATATATTTCCATCTTTTTGATGAATATTGATTACTAAAGGGTTGTAAGAAGACTATTATA